AAAACATGACAGGGAGTGAATTTCTGGAAGATTATTGAACACTGAGGTGAACCAGTATGGCAAGATGCCAAAATTGACTTTATGTAGATTAAAAATAATCTCCCAAAGGAGAAACACTCTGCTCATTCTCTGCCCAAAGTGACTTATTTGGATGAGACAGAAACTATTTAAAATAAAGGATCATGCCAACCTATTCCCCGAGTATTTTTTATACTTAACCTTTTAACAAAGATCAAATTTATCATCAAACATCAAGTTTATCATTAGTGTAAAAGAGGAGAATGAATCCTGCCAGTTTGGAATGGGATGGCTTTATATCTTTATTATCTTTTACTGCAGTTGACATGGCTATGGTACCATGAAAACTATAAGTATTGGCTTCTATTGGGGTTTATAAAGAGGCCTCATAAAAATAGTAATAATTAAGAGTCCAGGTACGCGCCTGACTGAAATTATGTCCTTAAAAATGGAGTCAGGCAAGAAATTAATGAAATGCCAAGAAATGCTCTGCGTTAGGGCCATTGCAGATAATATACGTAGAACGCATGCAAACAAACGATTCAGTTCTATTCATTTTCCTATCTTTTGTTTTTAACATGCAGAATTTAAGTACCTGACTATCATTGGGGCTTGTATCAAGCATTTCTAGATAATTAACATCTGGCACATTGGACAGTCAGCTGGCAGGAAACAATCTATTCAGCACAATTTCTGGTATGAGAGGTTTAGTACTTTCCAAAAGCACACTATAGCTCTCAGAACAGCCATGTATATTATGAGTATGTACATAATTAGCTGAATTTTCTTGGGTTGATTTTCTACTCTGTTACAGCAGCTTTAATGCTAGTATAACAAAGGCACGCTTAGGTCAAACACTGTTTTGACTCCAACTGAGTTGTACCCGTTTTCTGTTGACATACCTGAGTGGCCACTATAGAGCTGGAAAGAATAATTGGTACTTCCCCTACAGCCCCACATTGACTCTTTCTTTCATTTACTGAATGCATAGGAAGTTGACACCTAGAAACCCAGTAGAAAATAGCAGGACACGTAATGGAAGACCCTTCTTCTCTTGCCCATAAGAAAATTATTGAGAGGTTATGGAACAGTCCTCACGTGGAAGAAAGGACAGCAACCTAAAGAGGAATTGGGTAACTTGCATACAAGTATATTTGTCACTTAAATATTGCTATAATGGATTGCATACATCTTCCTTATCCCTTGCATGTCACTTATTTAGGCTAACTTTGGGAGGAAGGAAAGTTAAAAGCCTAATTTTTCAGAGGGGCTCAACCTCTGCAGGTCTCATGGATTAAACTCAGTATCATTTCACACCTGCTTCAAGTCATGCAGACTAAGATCAAATGGGCAGGGAGAACCACAATGAAGAAAAGACTACTGAAAGGACAGGAAACAGAAGGAGAGGAAATCACTCATGAGATCTGTGTCTAGGATGCTGACTGCAATGGCTCGGGCACAGCATTTTAAAGTCGCAACATAGTTGAAATCAAAATAAACCACAAAAATACACCTCACTGGCAGAAAAATAAGGGGAGAGGAGAGAGTGATCATTAAGTTTCTTTTGCACTTACATCTTTGACAGTGGAAAGGAATTGATGGGCACGTTGGGCAGCTCTCTCATACCGTTGGAGCTGAGCATGACGGAGGGGGTGGGAGGTAATGTGGTCCTGCAAGGAGCTAATGGGTGTACTTATAATTACAGGCAATTCTTGAAGAAGAGTATAGACAGATTGTTTCAGATGTGTACTCTTGACATGCATTTTTCCTTATAAGGACAACTTTAAAATCAGTTCTACAGCTCCTACGCTGCAGAGGAGATTATGTTAAGATTCTTACTTTCTCGGCTGGCTGGACAACCACTCAGGAAAGATGCTTAAGTCAATAAAATACTAAATCCAATGATGTGAAACTTTGGTCATTCGTGAGATATAAGGATACAGAGTCACATTATTCAGATAGTATTTTACAGGTCCCCTGTGTCACATGGCTTTACAACTTGGCCCTGGGCTGTCTCTAGGTAAGCTACTCCTGATTTTAGACTCTCAGTATAATTAAGTTGGCCCATGGGGTACAAGCAAATACCTCACTGCGAACTGGTGTCAGCTACCTATTCCTTCTTCATAAAGCACTGAATTAGTCTCTGAAAGGAGAGAATGCATCTGCAGGGTTTTAGCCATATCTCTCTTAAATAATTACCTACTTTTTTTGGTCCTTGTTTGCCTCCCATTACTTTTGATTATAGTCTTGTAGGAACTTTTAACCGACCCCTATTCCTTTCTGATATCAACAGTCTTCAAATATTTGTAGAGAATTGTTTGGAGGGAATTTAGCTACATAAAACTCTTAACATTTGTGTTCTTTCAAAATACTCTCCAGTTATTAGCTTTTAAGCAGTATTCAAGTGCTTAGACCCAAAGCAGTGATTGGTTTATCGCTCATGGGTATTAACAGTACATGTGACAAGGACTGATTTTTTTTAAGGGATACAAAATAAGGCAATAAGATAACTGCCACATGTAATAGCAGGTCATAAGGAGATGATTCCAATTTATGACCTTGGAGACTTGTGACAGCTCTGAAGTTTTTATCAGCTGAATAAATTTCAACAGAGAATTTGTTTGGCTGCTTTAAACAATAGCTTTTCAATTTGCATAGGAAAAATGATGGTAAAACCTCATAATCAAATCAACCTTTTACCGCAAGCTCAATTCTATTACATTTTAGTGAAGCTTCAAAGCTGTTTAAAGAAACCAATCTGTTCCATCTCCAACCCTAAATGTGTCACTTGAGAGTCCAACTTCCAATAGGACCAGTATCTGACATGTAACTAAATTTAGAATATAAAATGCTCCTCACCATACTGTAACACATATAATTTAAAATAACTGTAAACCTAAACTTTGCAAAAACAGAAAATTCAAGAACTAACAAAAAAGCACAGTTTGTAATTGAAAGAAAATAATATTTAAAAGAAAAAACTTTTTTGTCCTTCCAAAAAGAGACTGAAATTACTAAGTTTTATTTCCCAAGAGAATTATGCCACTTTTATAAAGAAAATTACAGTCACCACAAATTGCTTTCAACAATTCCAAAGCTTCTTCATTTGACCACTTGAAAATCAAAGTTCTTGAAGATTATAAATATAACTTTTTATAACTCTGTTATTACGTACTGTGAATGGGGAAAGGGGGCCAATCTTGTGGCCGTAACGTCGAATGGCCTCTCTGATGTGGCCAGGCTGGATGGCATCGCTTTGAGCCTCTATACCACAGGCTGCAGAGCTCTGCAACAGAAAAAACACATAAATTGTTACTAAATCAAAAACACACAACAGACCTACAGTGCATAAAGTATGAAAATAAACCTTTATAAAATGGACTGATTTTTCCTGAGGATACATATCATTGCTGCCACACACTACTTTAAAGGGAAAAAAAGCTATTAACAAATCAAAGGAGACTTTTACATGAACTCTGCCTACCAGACCCAAAGAACACCATATTTGTCCTCTTAAGTATTTCACCTAGTGCCACTGCACGTTGCAATAGAAAAGAGCAACAAATGCTCAAATTCAAATGAAAGGGTCATATAAGTCATGCTGCAATAACCACAGGCAGCTATTTTTAAAACATTTCAAGCTTTCATTATGATGTCATGGGGTGGAGAAGATATTTGACAAGTATTTCAAAAGCAGAACACACTGCTACTAAACTCACAGTTGAGTGATATCAAATTTAAATTTGGAAATTAAATAACATTGAATTATAAAGGCACAATAGTGAAGAAATGTTTCGATTGATTCAAACTGGAACTTTTTTGTATTTTATTTTATTGTGTATATTAATTAAGGACTCTATGCAGAAAAAACACTGATTCGATAATTATGAAGTCCTAGTACTGGTTCAGGAAATCCCTGGCTAGAATCACTGACTCTCAGAAAAATTAGGCTGGAAGGGCCCTCAGGAAACCATCTAGTTCAGTGGTTTTCAATCTTTTTTCATTCATGGACACCTAAAAAACTTTGAATGGAAGTGTGGACCCCTTTGGAAATTTCAAATGGTGGTGCAGACCCCTTTGTAAGTGTGGGTATTCACATACTTTTGATTGATCAGTCATCTTTTGTGGACCCCTTAGACAGCCTGTGGACCCCTAGGGGTCTGCAGACCACAAGTTGAAAACCAGCGATCTAGTCCAACCCCATGATCAACACAGGCTGGAGTTTAATAGTAGCTTTCTGACTATGAAAGTGGTCAGACAGTGGAACAGGTTGCCTAGGGAAGCTATGAAATCTCCACGCTTAGAAACTTTCAACTAGACAGACACTTGGCTGGGATGGTTTAGTCAGGGCTGATCCTGTCTTGAGCAGGGCGTTGCACTTGATGACCCTGTGAGGTCCCTTCCAACCCCACTTTCCTATGATCCTATGACTATTATCAAATCCCCCCTCCCCCAGTCTTCTCTTCTGCAAATTAAAGAATCCCAGTTCACCCAACCTTTCTTTATAAATCACATTTCCAAGACTTCTAATAATTTTGTTGCTTTCCATTGGATTCTTTCTCCTGAACATCTTACATGAATTACAATGCCCGCACACAGTACTCTAGGTGAGACCTTGTGCCAGGGCTGAACAGAGTGGAAAAATCACTTCCTTCAGTTTGCAAGAAACAATCCTGTTATTAAGACCGAGACGGCTGGGTGGCTTTGGCAGTAAGACCACTGTCGACTCATAGAGCTTGCTAATCATGTCCATTTCTCCAGGACTGCCACCTAGCCAATCATCCCCCCAGTCTGTATTTCTGCATTTGATTGTTCTGTCCTAAGTGAAGGACTTTGAACTTTTCTGTACACAATTTCTTCCAAATCTGCTCATCAAGAGCAGAAGCTATTCTGTATTGTTTGGTAACATTTGCTTAAGGCTTACTTGAATGCCCAAGACAAGTGCTGCAAGGTTTACTCATGGAGATACATCTGGTGAATTCAGTCAGCATGACCAATATATAATGTAGGACAAATATGTCAAACTTGGCTGTCTAAAATTAATTACCTACATAAAATGTCTGATTTTCAGAATTGCTGAAAATTTACTGGTTCCATTTTGAGTCAATGTGTGTACACTATATATTACATAACGTATTGGTGGGTTCTTCCCTTGTTGACTGACATTCATAAAGGGAATGAAAAATCTAATTTTCTTTTTGCTGTACTGGGCTCTGATGTCGTATGAATAGCATCCTTCATTAAGAACCTAGTCTATCGCAACCCCTTGGCTATGCGTAATATATACCTGTCAAAACTGGACAGGGGTAAAGCTAGCAGAAGCATTCAGTAAAATTATGCAGTTGTTTATAAACATAACATTTTTGAGAAAAGGCAGGCAGGTAAGGTTATGAGCTTAAGTGATACAAGTAACAAAAGTTACTATCTATATCTAAAATTGCAACCTTAGTTAACACCTTGTGCCTAAGAACTACAGTGCAAATTGCTCAGGTGAACGGAATAACGTCGTCGCCCCAATATATAAAAAGAAGTGGGGGAAGAAAAAGAGCAACTCCAGAAAATCATAAGAAAAAACAATTTTTAAAGGTTCATCAAAGAGTTTGTTATTTTGGAGTATAAGAAGACAGTTGCTGGAGGTCAATTCACTGGTGAGGGAAAGCTGAACCTGTTATAATTCTATTAGGAGCATATGAAAATTTCCCCCTATAGTAATGTCAATAAGAAAACTACTAGTTAATGCACTGGTGAGTAGAGTAGCAAGGGAAGAAAGACTATATGGATGGCAGAACTGCTAGGTACTCATTTCATACCAGCAGAACTTGCTTTGGATCAGACTGAGCTTTGGGAGCAGACTTTTTTCCCCCAAGATTTCTTAAAACTTCTTAAAAGCCCAACCTAAATAGACAAAAACATTCTCATTTAGTTAAATCTATTCCAACTCTTTTTTTTTTTTTTTAATATCAAAATATCAAAGTATATCCCTTTCACCTAAAGTATAAGGATGTATGATAAAGCATGGAAAGAGCAATGATCACATTTCCCTCAGAGTGTACAAATGATCTGGACTGAATGGGACTTCAGACATAAAAAATAAAGAATACTGCTGTAAATAGAGGCCCCTCCAGCAGTAAAGTATGAGACATATTTTGGAACTGCACTTAAACGATAATTTCAAAACCAAGAGAGACTAAGATCTTCAAAGATACTTTGAGGTCATTCCTACTATGGTCACATCCACAACTACCTTTTTTCTTTTTCTTTGCTTGGCTTTGGTAGAATCTTGTCCAATGCCTCCATTCCCCATGGCTCCAGACTGGGTTTTTCCAAGGTGTTGTGATCCTGCTGATGTTGGGGGAGTAGGTGTAGGGGGTGGTGTATTTTCAGGGGAGTCGAGACTGGTCTTCATACTTGTGGCTTGGCCTAAGAGATGTGGCTAAACCAAACAAAAGTCAACTGCAGCCATTATGAGATGGAATTTTAAAAATTGTTCCCTACTTTCCTAGATTTATACTCTTAACAAAAAGTATAATAAAATATTTAGCTTGCACACTCCAGAAGTTATGATGATTGCTGATCCATGTAATTACATCAGTCATTATGGTTTTTTTATCATTGATATGCAGTTCATTTACAGCTACTTAATAAAGATCAATGTAAAAGGAAAAAAAAATAAAAGCAAACTCCGATAGTGAGAATTTCTATATAAACAATTAATTTCATTTGCATGTAAAGTTGCTAAAGTTTTTAACAGTTATAACCATATAGTTTGTGTCAAAAGTTATCAGAGAATTATACCAATTACTTGCAATTCAACAAACCTCCAAAATGCATGACACATTAATATAAGCCGCAGGCTCCCCAAAATGTTTAATTCTATTCTGATATGAAAATACATCATTAAAAAAACCCAAAGAGTTACCTCAGCAGAGGTGTGATACTGTATGAAAGTAGCAGATATTGCATGGCTGAACGGATCGCCTGCTTTCGGAGCCATATCCTGTTTGACCAAGAGAGCCAAGTCCACCAACTATGAGAACAACAACAATTAAAAGGATAGGTTCACTGACAGAATTAGCTTACTGGCAGAACAGCATCACAAACGTAAATGAAGTCAGTACGTGCGTGTCGACACAGATTAATCCAAATGCCTCTTAGCAGAGATCTGAATTTGTTCAGAGATACTCTAACCTAAAGAACCTTTTTCATCACATTTTATAAATTTACAGAGTAATTTATCTACCAAGAAGGTTTGGCTCTGATGTAACATTTGGTTTTCCAAGAAATCCTGCTTTTTTATCCAGTTTTACAGTTGGGTTGACTGAACACAAGTGCCTTGCCAAGGGTCACATAGCAAAGTGTGTGGTTTCAGTAGGACTTGGACAAAGATCCTTCTGGCTGTCAATCTTATGGTAACCATTACACATTATTGCCACTCATAATACCACAATGATGAGCACAGTACAGTGTGAAGCTCAGATACAGTAAATTGCATGCTGGTTAGATAGGAATTCAGTTGCAGACCATTATACTTATAAAAATGCTAACACAAAATCTTAGGGTCAGCTGAGATTGCTTGAAATGTGGCCAAGACTATCTACTTAACTTTGTAATGAAATGGCATAGTCCGTATATTATGTTCCCTTACCTGTGCCACAGTCTCATAGGCTAAATATGCCAAAATCTCCATGGCAACTGCATTTGGTTTTATTTCCATGCTGCTACAGTCTAACCAATCACGAAACTTGGACGCTTTCTTGGCTGTTCATTGAAAACATCAGAGAGAACAGAACTGAAAGTTAACAAAAGTGATTCAAATAGTAATTTAAAGTTACACCCTCCTAGAATAGCTATAAATGTTAAACAGGGAGTCTGAAGTTTTCATGAAAGACAGGGAAAAGCCAGTGGAGGTACTCAGAAATTAGCAAAGTGAGATCTGTGGGTAAGGACAGTGATTGTGCACACACAATTTTGTGTAGTCTGAAGAGAAAGCCTTGAGCACCATGAAGGAAAAGGTAAGTCAGATACAGGTTGCGTACACACGTTCAACTGATCTGGGAGAGTTCTCCCAGGTTTGCTCTCCTGGCAGAGAAACTTACCCAGAACTGGATGTACAGACACTTGATACTGAGGCCCTGAAGAGTGGAGAGCTTGGAGACACTGTAACCGGAGGGGAGGTGGGGAAGAGCTGTGCTCTTGCTCTGCAAGCTCACTTAATCTGCCTGCCAGCGTGAACACTGCATGCCAGCCTTGAAAGGACTTCAAGGCACCCCACAGTGCCATGGCATCCTGGTTGAGAACCAGTGATGTAGTCACTGATAGTACTGGTTACTCCTCTATGACTCTGGCTTCATCTGTTCTTGGTTCTCCTTTTGGTTTTCACATCCCTCTTTCAGTGTCATCTTTGGTCCTTTCTCCCTCACAAACCTCATATAGTTCTCTTTGTCTCATGTTCTCTACATCTGAGTGATATCACACATGCATAGGATTCAATTCTTATTTCTACGTTGATAATTTGCAGATTTCTATGTTGATAATTTGCAGATCTCTTCCATACCATTTGCCAACATATCATTTTGGATAGTTTGTTATCATCAACAAAGTTCTGCACACTTAAAATTGACTGCCTACTTTTTCCTTCTTAAATCACTTCCACTTATCTTCACTTTTGTTGATAACACCATGATCACCCTCTCAGTCTTAAAACTTCAGGCGCATCTTGAATTTCTCTTGTACCATTTCTTTGTTCAAGAAGTTACAAGCCTGGTGGAGAGGATGATAGTGTGTGCATGCCTGTGTGTCTATGCACATGTGTGCGCACACACATGCCCATGAGAAAGCAAGGTGGTTAGCCATGTTAAGTCTAAAAATAGGCAGAAGTTCAGGTAGGGTGGCATCTTAGAGACTAACTGGTTTACAGAGGTATGAGCTTTTGTATGCAACAGCCTACTTCATTATACGCTATGAACAGACTAACAGAAAGAAAGGTTTTATCATATTTTATTACATACAGAACACACTTCTTTCCCCGCAAAATAATCCCCCATCGCCCCAAACTGAAGTAGGGGTTTTAAGTGGAGAAGCTATTTTCTTCGCTGGAAAAGCTGCACTCTGGGAGACACTTTGCATCCCATGCAGCTCCCATTATGGCAGCCACTTGCATTAGCAAACTGAAGAGACAGTCTTCCCTATCACAGCCATAACCATGGGCTGAGCACTGTAGCTTGTGCCCCAAGCAGCAAATGAGCTATTGGTAGCATCTTGCTGAGGCCTATGATATTGAAATTTCTTTTTATTTACAGACACTTGTATAAAGAGCTACTTAAGAGTAAAAACCTAACAGCCTTCCTACTGCCTTTGCAAGGGCTTGGGCCAACCTGGTGACACAGGAAATATAGTGTCCAAGAAGCGTGGCATCACAGGAGACAGTCTAACACACCAGGAATTTCCTGATGCTACATTTCTTGGACTTGCTATGTTTATATTAAGTGCTAGCTATGACATGTCCAAGCAGGGACGTGTTTATAGAAGGTCCTACTCTGTGTCATACATTTGGCCATGACTGAAGTCTTTTTTTTCCTATGTTCTCCCTTCCAAAAACAAGGTGCAACACTTTATTTGGGGGCATGCTGTACGTGAGAAACTACATTATATGGAAGGAAAGAGAGATGGATAGGAGGGAACACTGCAACAGAGTGGTAAAAAGTGGGGTGACTAGATCTATTGAAATAAGTAAGGCAGTTAACGTGTTCAGGACCCTGAAACTAACAGGTAATGGGATAAGAATCTGTAGAACCTATGAGACCACTGTTAACCAACCCAGTCTGTGAATGGCTTCTTTGTTCTGCAATTTTGCATTCAAGTTGGCTTTTAACGTTTTGTTTAAGGACAGCTGATGAAATGTCCAGGGACATTAAAGTCTGGAATTCATGTTGAATTGGTGCCCATTCATTCAGGTAGGGATCACCCTTGTCTGGCCAATGTAGACAGCAGAGGAGCCCTGCAAGTAGGTAACGACATACGTGATAACACTGATGGTTCCATCTCTGACCTCACAGTCTCTGTGCTCAGGAGGAACCCTTCAGAGGTCAGGTCTGGAAACAAAATATTCATAACTTTACAGGACACTGGACTAAACACCATGGAGTAAACAGAGACAATGATTTTATGGCTCATAACAATTTCCTTGTCTCTGCTAACCTCTCTGTACTCCACAGGTAATAAGGAACCTCCTTCCTTCTGAATTTGGGTTATTTATTTCAACTGCCTTTTACCTAATTTATGGCTATCTCTGAAAACGGCTCTGTGCTTCATAGGTTTACAGTCCTTTTCACCCTTTAAGTGACTTTTTCTTGATACAAATGAAATTTAACAAAAAAACTGCATTATCTGGTATTTAGCTTAAATTTTCTTTTCCAGATGTGAGGAAGAATATTTTGAGATCAAAAGCTCACCTAGCAGCAGTCCCAATGATGTAGTTGGTCCAACAGAAGACATCACCAAACCAATCTCGCTTCTCTTGTATTTTCTGGACCAGAGCTGTCTAGCTGGTGGCTCATGGGCCACATGGAGTCTGGGAAGAGTTAATTTTCAACCCCCCAGCTGCTGTTCCCCTGCTGCTCTGGCCACAGCAGCTGCTGGACTCTCCCCCTCCCTCCTCTAGCTTCCACTTCCTGCCCCTTCCCTGGGGGAAGAGAGACAGGGTGGAGTGGGGTGGGATGAGGCAGCTCGTAGCCAGGGAGCCGAGGGTAAGGCTGGGGCATCCACGCAGTTTGCAGCCTTGGGGGGGCCCAGGCTCATGCCAGTGTGGCCCATGCTGCCCCAGCCACTTAGAAGTTGGACAGCCCTGCTCGGACACGTCATAGCTAGGACAAAATTATAACCCCTTTACAATAGCGTGCAGATTTATGGTGCTGTTTAACTATGCAATTATAAAACACTACTGTAAATATACGACTCTTTGCGAGTTTCATGGACTTATATTACAGTAGTAGATAGCATCATAGACATTACGGCTGGAAGGGACCTAATCCAAAATCTGGAACCAGCTTCCCAGGGAAGTGGTCCTCGCCCCTACCTTGGGCAAATTCAAGAGGAGGTTGGATGATCACCTGTCTGGGGTCTTGTGAACCCAGCATCCATTCCTGCCTGTGGCAGGGGTCAGGCTAGATGATCTGTTCGGGTCCCTCCTGACCCTAGCTACTATAACACTACGATGATGATACTATGACCTCGGGAGATCATTGAGTCTAGCCCCCTGCCCCAGGGGTTGATTATTTTCAGCACTCGAGGCCCAGCTTCTATTCCATCCCATCAGCACTGAAGTAGACTTTGACATCTATCTGTGCTTCCATTCCACCCTGGTCAAGCCCTGAAAAAACCCCATTCATCTCTTTTTGTCTCTAATGCATCTATTTCTGTAACATACTGTCAGCTTACCCTTATGACTGAGCTGTAAAAAAGCAGCTGCTTTTGGACTGTTTTTCAGGAACTGAAGCAGGGTAGAAAAGAATTACACTTAGGTACCCAAGTCTAGTTATGTGCCTAATACATGGAATAGACTTTTCCTTAACTTTCAATAAAAAAACTATACATACTTTGACCTATTAGCATCTTATCTGGCATAAAACAAAGCAGATAGTAACCGTGAGCATGATTCTCTTTTTACACTGGTTTTACACCAGTGAAATCCCACTGACACCAGTTACTCTTCACCGGCATTAAATGCAAGCGAGAGGAAAATGAGGCCATTATTATTAAAAATGTAGCAAGATTATCCACCAGATAATTTATTTTACAAATCAGCAGCATTCGAATATATCTTGTACACTGCAAATTTATATTTGTGCTGAGGTCTGATTATAATTTTTAGGTTTAAAAATGCCATTATCACGAACCTGTCATTTTCTGAAATCACCTCAGTCTGAAGTATCATTTACCTAATGGCTCACAGATGTGTAATGCCAAATTATAATGAAGCTTGCAAAACGCACTGAATCAGGAAAAAAATAAAACGCTTACAAAACATGGTTTCCTACGTTTGCTGACATTTACCCAGAGCACTATTCTGGATGTGTCATTTATCTGACCGTTATGAACTTTATGATCCATAAATGACTCACTTATTCTTTCAGTTCAAATGCCCTGTTGTGAAGAACGAGATAAGGTCTCTCTTTTAAAGACACCATTGTGTTCATTTCTGTATTTTAGTGTCATGTGCTACTCTGTCATGCTTTTTAATGGCTCTTTCACCTCACTCTCTCTTTGACTTTTGACCTGAAGCCTTAGTCATCACTTAACTGTGTCTGTAGTGCTGTTTTGCTATATGATCAAGCCCATTAATTTACAGCCCATTATACTTGTGGCTCACAAGTGCTTCTAGTAAGTTGGTTTTCAGTGGTAGTAAAGCCCTAATTCTGTCATCATGTTATTAGTGTTGGAATGGCGTGTACTCATGAATTTGGCTAATGTTGAATAAATTCCACAGCAGGAGGTTACAGCTTAAAATAGAAAAGACCTTTAGTGAGTTCTTTGTATGTCTGTGGATGCAGAAATAAAAAAAGAAAATTTGCTATTTTTAGCTTATTTCAGACGCCTTCAGAACTAATCCCAAGCATGAGACAGTACTTCAGTAATCAAATGTGCATAACAATATCACAAGCGTGGATAGTTTACCATGCAAACGGTTTAAAAAGGCTACCTGTAGGATTTATACAAGCACCCATCACCATCGTACTCGGGTTAAAAGGAAAAGCTGGGAAGTAGCAAAAGAAATGAAAAATATTGTCTGCTGTCACTACAATGTGATAGCTCAGAAGACATGAGAACACAGGATCTAAAGTTTTCTAGCGTATGTTAAACAAGTGCATTTTCAATAAATATTTCACTAAGGTTCTTCTATATCCAATGGGGGCCATCCTCTTTGGTGCACACACCGTTAATTAGCTACGCGTCCTCCCCGAGTGCTACTCCAATCCCCTGCCCCATCTGCTGCTCTGCTTCCTGCTTCCTTCCCTGTGCTCCCAGTCCCAGCTGCTGCTCTGCTTTGTGTCTTACCTTCCACTGTGTTGCCTGCCCCAATCTGCTGTGTGCCACTTGTACCTAGGAAGTGTGCCACGTCTGCCCAGGTACCTCTCCACTATTTAAATGCTACATTTATCCCCCTTCTCCCCCCCACCCAGCGTGTCACTTGCCCACTGACTCCTTAGTTTCCATCTTCACTGACTGCCTGTCCCACATGCAGACCGGCCCGGCCTCTGGCTTCTTTACTATTCATTCCATCCAGGAAGAGCACACGCCAACTGCAGAGACTTCCTCAGCCTGACGAAGGGTTTTTAAACCCAAAAGCTTGCTAAAAAATGTTTTTTTCCATCTATTTAAGTTGGTCTAATAAAAGACATCAGATTCACCCAAAGAACCTTGTCTGCCTATGTCCTCAGACCAACACGGCTGCAACCTACACCCCCGTGTGCCACTTGTGGCACTCTTGCTACAGAATGGCCATCCCTGTTCTAGTACCTAAAACTAATAACTGTACCTCTAAATACAATACAGCAGCTATAATACTTACAAAAGCTCAGCTGTCGACTTTCGCAGAATTCTGCATACTGGGCTGAGTCCATCATCCGTGTTTGCCTTTCTGCTCTCTAAAAGACAAAGTAGAATGAAACAATGCACTTCCTCTAACCAGAACTATGAACCAGAAGATGAATAGTATCCACAAAACTTGCACTACTGTAGCTATAAACTCAAAAGTCACCGGTGGATTTAAACAGGTTAAGATGCATAGATATAAAGCACAGCTGGGTTATTATTCTTAGGAGTAAAATCTGTCAGAGGAGAGTTTTAATTTGTATTCCAGAAATGTGCTTGTGTAGCACAACAATAAGGGCTCAAGCCTGAAGGGCGCTAAGCTTTCTGGTCTTGATCTAGTAAAGCACTGAAATACATACTGAAATGCAGGCATACTGTGAATCTTACTACTAAGCACATGCACATGAGTTTTCCTGGATTGAAGCCAGAGTGCTCAGTACCCTTCAGAATTGAGCCCTACCTACATCATTTTTAAAGGGGCATTACTCATTATTGTAGCAAATGGACATTTGGCGTCACACTGCGGATGCCCCAGCACAGTGCAGGCTGATCCCCAGTCGGTACACGAAGCAGCCTTTAGGTGGTTAGCCCTGACATTTTAATTGTTGATCTATGCCTTCTCTTTTATCCTTCAGGACCCGGAGGCAGCAGGGGAAGGAAGAAAGAGGAAATTAAACAGGCTAATTAAATTCATTTGAGAAAAATGTAAACAACTCTCAAAACATTTTCTACTGGATTCTCTAAAGAATATATTTCATACAGCAACAGTCTGATGTAAAACAAAGGCTTGCATAACCCTGAACCTCTCAGCAATCAAGGTATTAACATACCATACATTTATATATTTGCCCTCCAAATATATGCTACACTATATAAGTCATGATTCAAAGCAGCACTTAAGTACATGCTTAATTTTAATCACATGCTTCGGGCCCATCAGCTTCAGTGATGCAGAGCTGATTTACACCAGATCATCTGCCACATTCTGGAGGCCAGAAGAGGTAGTTAGACTAAACAGAGAGATTATCCTTTTAAGAAGCAGATAGTAGTTCATTCAAATCTTCCAAACAAGAAAAGTGTGCTATCTAAAGCTCTGAGAAAGGTTTGTAATCTTCTCCCAAACACTAACTTAATGAATCAAGGAAACCCAGCACACCAAACAGGAGCAGGATTCCAGTACCGACTCGACAATCCTGAACAGGAGTGGCTGCTGGCACTGACATCCAGACATCGGCACTTGCTACGTACAGCCCAAGCTCACGCATCAGAATGACAAATCAACAATACAGCGAAGAAAAGATAAACACGGGTGCTTTTATAGCCCAAAGAACTTCTTCAGCCTGAGTCCAAGGTTAATTCACCATCTGATGAAATTTAAAATTGTGGGTTTGTTTCATCTGGTTTGGCGAGAAATAAAGTGCTTATTGGTGAGAAAAGGACCCGAAGACTTGGCCTTAAAAAATGGGGCTTGAATCAGAAAAGAAAACCTTTCTTTGAACTACATACATGATATCGAATTCTACTCCCATTCCTTTCTGGATGCCCTCCTTACCTATTGATGGGAGAAGTTGTATCTCATTATCTCACCTACTCACGATAAGGCCATCCCAATATTAAACCCACTCGCTCTAAGGCTGCATACAGACATTCAAGGGTGTAGGTTGTACCCGTGTTGGTCTAAGGACATAGGAGGCCTGACAAATGGTTTTTAAACCTGAAAGCTTGATTTTTTAAAAATACTTTTCCAACTATTTAAGCTGATCTCATAAAAGATCTCAGATTCACCCAAAGTACCTTGTCTACAGACATTCAAGTGATCTAGGAGAATTCTTCCAGGTTTGTTTTCCTGGTAGTAACATTTACCTGGAGGTGCCTGAACAGGCGATCGAATACTGAGCCCCTGAAAAGCAGAGAGCTTGCCGTGCTCGTGCTGCACAACCAGCGGGCCCCCGAGTGCACATGTCCGCGTGCTTTGCACGGTTTCTCATTCTGCCTCTGGAGACCGAGCACAGGACAGCCTTGCTCAGGGTCAACCTGCGTCTCCTGCAACACAATGTGGGGATTGTGAAGGGGTATGTCATGCTCCGTGCTCAGCTGACGTCCAGTGAATGACGCACTGCCTTCTGGGGCGGGGGGGAGGGGGGGTGGTGAGGAGGGTGGCAAAGGGGGCAGGAGCAAAGCACCCTGGGACACTGAAGGACTGTGCTGTGGCTTCTCTCAGAAGAGAATGTCTCCCAGGAGAAACTCTCCAGGAGCGATTTAACCCTGGTTGTTCCCAGGTTATTTTTCTCTCGGAGTGGCCATTTTCACTCTGAGAGAAAAATCCCGAATATCTGTACACTCGCGGTCTCTGCTCGGAGAGCAACGACTCTCCCAGGAGGAACCGAATGCAATCATCCAATGCTCGAGTCACCTAGTCATCTAGAAACAACCCACAGAGATGTTTTCTCTCTCTCTCCGTATTCTACACAGGGCCGTCCAACTGGTGGTTAACCACTGGCCCGCAGGCTCCTGCCACCTTTACCTCCTCGGCTCCCCATGCTTTGCCCCAGAGGTCCAGGTGTCACTCCTTCCTAGCAAGTGCCATCTCCCTCCATCACGTGCTCCCACTGCTGCTGTCGCTATTTCTCTCGCCCTTTGCCCCCAACCCCAAGATCTCTGGGTTCCCTCTCCTTTCTCCACTTTCTACTTCCTCCCCCATGAGTGCCCCATGTCCACTCAGAAGTTGGACAGCCCTATCCTGGCTAGTCAACTGCTCTAGATTGAAGTGCTAAATTTAATTTCTAAACCTCTTTTGTGCGACTGAACTGCAGGGATAGACATTACACTGAAGCATTTCTTTTCTCGATTCCTTTTCTACACATTCCTCTACTTCCTCAGGTCTGCCTTCCTTGTTGCATTCTGCTAAGTAATTTCTTCAGGTGCAATTACCTTTCCTGTCAGACAGGACAGAATTTCAGACTGAATGCGACTGGCTTCAAACTTCTTCCCTTCGTTCTGCTTACAACTTGTTTTTTGCCAACGTAGAAAGATAAATGAAAATAAATCCTTGTTCTGTGTTGATACGTCCAGAATGTGATCAGGCAGCCTTTAAACCAGTTGTTCCCAAACTGTAGGTTGTGACCCCAAATGGGGTGGTGACATCACTGGACGGGGTCGTGGCACGGTGCTCTATCCTGTGCCAGGTCCTGCCCGCTGGGCTGCAGAGGCCCGGGGGAAGGGCAGCAGGGTGGGGAGCCCCAAGCCCGCATCCTCCCCACCCCATGGGCTCCGCGCTGACCGTGCCACCCACAGGGGAGGCAACAGGGGCGGGGAACTGGGCTGTTTCCTGGGGGCAGCAGACAGCTCAGGCGCTGCTGGGGTGGGGGCAGAGGGTGCAGGGGGCTACAGACTCTGGCCCTGGGGCAACTGGGGAGAGTGGGGAGCTGCAGATTAGGAGTGAGGGGCACCGGCAGAGCCAGGGGGCTGCGGGTCAGGAGTGAGGGGTCCCTCGGGGGGTTGGGGGGCTGTGAGTTGGGAACGACGGGTCATGCTGAGGAAATGGGGTCACATATGGGGTCATGCTGAAGAAAAGTTTGGGAAGCACTTCGTTAAACCTTCTGTTAAATAGCCAACTAGATAGGACATAAACACCACATAAAGGACTTAAGCTTCTTGAAATATCAGAAGCACTCCCAAGAGCTGTGTGTGCTGTTGGGTGGAAGGTGTCCTGAAGTGCCTGGTGCATCTATTTAGAAGCACAAGTTTCAATTAGATAGGAACTATGGCTCTCAGAAACCCTGACATTAAATAAATTAGATGACAATGACCAATATGAACTGAATAACAACCAAATAACTGATAATCCTTTGAATAATATTTCCTTCAAATGTTCAAGGTTGAAAGTGGAATCATCCAAAGAGAGTCCTGCTGCTAATTTGCTGGTCCCATGAGATCTTGTCGAAGAGTATATAGGTTTCCCAATGCACTGAAAATTTACACAAAACCAAAAATAAAAAGAATGACCCGTTTTCAATACTACCGTCACACCTCTTCCTAATTTCACACAGAAAAAACAGCATGGAATTTCCTTAGACTGGGCTTTCCAGCTCTCATATACTAAAATTATTATGATTATTTTTCCTTCTGCAAATACTTGGTTCACGGAAAAAGATAGTACCTACCATTTCTAAGATATTGAAATTATTCCCTTCCCTTTTCTTCTCTGCCCTAGAAGAAAGTTGTGTAAAAAAAATGAACATGTGCTATTATTTGTTGCCTACTTAAGACCTGGCAAAACAGAAATTCCTATGTGGCGTATAATATACTACATTCTTCTTTCCTACAAAATCTAATGTAAAACCACATTGCTTGAAGTGGTAAGCAAACTAAGCCTACACCTTTTGTAATAGCTCTAATTTCATATTTCTGCAAATTTGAATCATTTCATCCTAAAGCTGTGACCTCTATTTTTCTGGCTACAATTCGTTCTGGAAATCCATCACACTAAGCAGTGGTACAGAAACTTTTAACTAAGAAACAGTCTACTGACATCAGGAGAAATCTCTCTCACTCCTTTATGGAGAGAAGCAGCAAGTTCCTCCTATGAAAGTCTTCACCAGTTTAGAAACACATGTACTGGGGCACTTACGCATGCCTGAAAATGACAAATCCCCAGGGACATCCTAGCTACAATCTTCAATTCATCTGTTCTGTGTTGGTCTCTGAACCCAGGTACCATGAATGTCATGAGTGACAATGTCCTAGCGGTTTATCTAAAGTAGAAAAAAATATATATAGTTCCCATCCTCTTTATCATAGGACTAGCCATTCTCAGCAGCTAAGGCACTGAAATTATGCAGCATACAGCATGGTTAAAATATTCTGCATGCTTTCCTTGGAACAAGCTGAAGGATGCAGCAGATAGGAGCTGGCACTGTAAGGGTATGCTTAGCCTTCCAAAAATGTGTTGCATTATATCTTTCTTTCAGCATGAACAGCTAAAAAGGAAGGGTGAAAAGGAAAAAAAAAGGTAAAGAGTTACATGTTGTCACCTACCATCCAGGATGAAAAA